GCTCTGATTGCATAAACCAGTACAGGTGGTCCCAGTAGTCACTGGCACACTGGGTGCTGTGCCAAAAGATCTCGGCCAAAATTTGGAAACAATAAACATCGACAAAATCATGATCTGTCAACTGCAAAAGGCCACCTGACTTGGATCTGCGCGCATCATTCGGAAATACATCATACAGTCCTAGACGTTTGGGAAGGGTTCAACTTGTGATTTTGTGATACGAAATCCAGCAGAGAGATCTCATTTGCTGTGAAATACTGTGCTTTTGTGTAAATAATAACTTTATTTTTATACCCCGCCAACCATCTCTCCTAGGGGACTCAGGGACACGCCTAAGATTACAATTAAAACACACAAGTAAAACACTTTAACCAATTAAAACATCAGATAAAACAAATAACAACACAATTAAAAGCAATATAAAAACAATATGAAAGAAACATAGCTGAGGTACATATTCAATGAGTGCAATACATTTTTGCAGGAGCGCAGGAAAGTGCAACAATACAGTAAACTGGGCAGGAAATACTGTCAAGCACATGTTGAGGTAGGACGTATGACAGTGTAAAATGTGGGCCGGTGTAAAGTGTGGAACTTCAAGTAGAGATAAGAAAGTTACTGGTGAGCTGCTTAGTCAAAAGCGCACAGGAACATCCAGGTTTTTAGTTGACTCTGAAAGGAGGACAAGGTGGGAATCTGTCTGGTCTCCCTAGGGAGGAAGTTCCAGAGCCGGGAGGCCACCACCGAGAAGTCTCTCTCCCTCATCCCCACCAAACGTGCATGAGACAGCGGCAGGAGAGAGAGCAGTGCCTCCCCAGAAGATCTCAAAGTAAGCACTGGTTCATAGGGGAAGATGCGATCACAGAGATAAGCAGGTCCCAAAACATATTATTATTATTATTATTATTATTATTATTATTATTATTATTATTACGTACTCACCGCCAAGACACTGAACTTGGAGGACAATCTTACTCGGACAATGAGGGATCGCCTAAGTAAGCAAGTGTTGATGTTAACACCCACGGCACATATAGTGGTGCTGCATGGGAGTGCAGATTGTGAAGGCGAGGTAATGTCCCAGCAGGGTTGATGGGGTTTCACATCAGTGAGACTGTGTAGGCTCCAACCCGATAGTTCAGGAAGGTGTGTGTCTACAAAACATCTTCCTTTCAGCCCCTAAGATGCTAGGAGATCCCTTCGCATTCTCATAGAGAAGATGATCTCGTGCTGAATAGCTGTGTCTTGTGTCCAGTGGGTAAGCTCAGTGGACAAAGTACATAAGATCACATTTTCTGTAGGTTTGTTTTACTGAATGCGCCACACATTTGTTCAGCAGCCGAGATGATTGACAGAGCCTGAATGTGGAGGAGGCATCCTGATGTGCTCAGAGAAATGGAGGTGGCTACACCTGAGTGGAACAGAATAGCTTCTCACACTGAGAGAGAGCAATTTCATCACAAAAGGCTCCTGGGGTTTTCATAAATCCTTGCTGGGTGAGAGCAAGCTCCTATCACTCATCCACACTTGACTGTGGCTAAATGTCAAGCGCTTTCAGGTTAAACGCCTGGCCAAACGCTGCTCAGAAAGGCAAGCGAGGAGCCAGAGCCCAACAAGGTGGCCTTGGCTTCTCCCCCATCTCTCGAATCACTTGACAGGCGTTACCTTTGGAAAGCTCTTGCTCATGGTTACCCAAAGTCTATCACTTCCTAATTTGAAAGCATTGCCAGTGGGGAATGGGAATTCGTGAAGCGCAAGTGCTCCTCAGCTGGGTCTACAAGTAGAATCCAAAAATACGCAACGGCGTTAATCCATGCCATTGAAACATCCAACAGATATTCATAACCTGTTCCAGATCTTACCTTCATGAATCCTTTTCTTTATGTGATGGCTCTCTACCAACCTAGCAGCTCGAAAACATGCAAATGTGAGTAGATCAATTTACTGGCGGGAAGCTAATGGCGCTCCATGTAGTCATGCTGGCCACATGACCTTGGAGGTGTCTACAGACAATGCTGACTCTTCGCCTTAGCAATGGAGATGAGCACCAACCCCCAGTCGGACACAACTGGACTCAATGTCAGGGACGACCTTTACTTTTACCTATGCGATGGCTCACCGCAATACATTGTTGTGAAGGAAATCAACCTCTCAACCTTATGTACCTACTGTGGGATTTCAAGGATCAAGAATGTCCAGGTAGATGGGAAGCTGGAGATGCAGAGATCATTGTCTCTGGTGTCAGAAGTTTCAGCTCTTTGACTCTCTATTTAATGCTTCACTTTTTTTGTGTATGTCAGGAGCGACTTGAGAAACTGCAAGTTGCTTCTGGTGTGAGAGAATTGGCCATCTGCAAGGACGTTGCCTAGGGGACATTGCCCGGATGTTTTGATGTTTTATCATCCTTGTGGGAGGCTTCTCTCATGTCCCCACATGGGGAGCTGGAGCTGACAGTGGGAGCTCATCCGCGCTCTCCCCAGATTCGAACCTGCGACCTGCCGTCCTCAGTCCTACCGGCACAAGGATTTAAATCACTGTGCCACTATAACACTGAGCATTATTTTTGTCCCATTATTAGTGAGTTTCTCTTCTTTCAACACTTATTTTAAGGGTCATATTGACTTTATTTATTTGTCTTGGTTTAATGGTGATTGTTCCGTCTTCCAGGAGCATAGTTTGCATGACCTTTTAGTTGCATGCGATAGTGTTATTTTGCATTTTCCCAGGGCTGCTACAGACCCAGCAGCACCCTGGAAGTTAAGCAGTATCAGAGTCTGCAAAGCCAGCCTGCAGGCCCCTTTTGCAGCTATTGGTTTAGAAAAGTATCTCTTTGGATATCCCTTTTTCCTGAGTTGAGATCTCCATTTTGAAATCTCCCCTGCCTCCTTCAGTGTAGAGAAAGAAAGCCTCAGATGTGCTGTTGGTCAGGCAGGTAACTCTGAGAAAACCATTGTAAGAACGATTAAGATATAAAGAAGCCGATTGAGAAACAGATAGAAAGATCAATTAACTGATTGAGATACTATAGATTGAGATTGAGAATTAAATAGAGAAGCTGACTGAGATATAGATAGTGATTGAGAAATAGATAGAAATATTGCGTAGTATTGAGTTATATAGATAAAGAAGCTTATTGAGTTATAGATAGCTATTGAGTCATTGAGTATTATTGAGCATTACTTCATCCCCAAAGCTAACCTTGAGCTATAGATAGGGTAAAAACCTGCTTTTTTTCTAACCATAGCAGCTCAGGGTTAGGGTGAAAAGATCCCAGGATTTTTGTCTGCCATTTGGGGAAAAGTTACCTTAGAAACTAAAGGAAAGGAAAGAAAGAACATCTCTGTGGTTTCACCAATTGACTGTTTTGTTTGTAACTTTAACAAGCTGTGCCAAGTCTGCAAGGACTTTGAGAAATAAATAAATATTCTGTTTTGGTGTTCAAAACCTGTAGTAACCTCAGTTGCTGGGAATCTCAAGCTTCTAAAGAAACACCCTCGCGGTCCGCCCAGACAAAGAGAGAAGCACAACTTAGTTTTAATTGTATAGGGTCTGGGTGTGATGGCACAGTGATGCCCTCTGGCCACTGATGTGGCTGGGCATTGCATTCCATCTTTCTATGAGGATTCTCACTAAAATTCACAAAATTATTGCAATTACACCATGATAGTTACAAGGAAATTAAATGGCTACAGATTGTTCATGTGTCATGAATCTAACCTTTTGCCAGGAAGGCCGAAGCCTGGAAAGTCAGTAGCTGACATGCTGAGGGATGGGCAGGAGAGCTAAGAGGCAAGAGGGAGGAGCCAGCCGACTCCTGATTGGCCAGAGCAGTCAGGGGAGGAGTTAGGTTTTAGAGGGAAAAAAGGCTGTGTCTTTTGACAAGCTGGAGAGTAGAGCTTTAAACATCGTAGAGTGAAGAAGTATTTTAGGGAGAGGGAGCTGAGAGGAATTTAGACAGGGAGAACTTTTGAAGTGAGCCTTGGGATTAGAGCATAGGGAAGGCAAAGGTTCCTGAAACACTATACTTAGTAGGGTCAGTGTAGGAAAGCCTGGTTGCTCTGTGAGGCAGTCAGTGGACTGTTCTCAGGGACACACTGTGTCAGAGTTAGTGAACAGTGTGAAGCAAGAGTCTCACAAGAAACAAAAGTTAAAGTCTTAAAGGAAGACTGCTTGTCTAATCAGCTAAGCCTCTGAAACGCATTACGCTTTTGCACCACTCTTATTAAGAGTTGATTTGTTCACCAAGTTTAAATAAACCTGTTATTGATTCATTTTAAACTGGTGTCTGCCTCGGTCTATTACAATCATTAGTTCTCAGCTAGCCTAAAGAAAACCCATTTCAGTCCAGTCAGCGAGAGAAGCAGCCAATAAAGAAGCACCTAGGGCTTGAACAAACTTTACCTAAATTTCACATTCACACTTATGTTTCTTCAGACATATAATTGAGGTGGTGGCGACGAATCTACCTATTACATCGGTCATTAACAACGTTAATACAGTTGGTCACTGAATAATATTACTGAGGTGGGATAAGAGAGTCTTTCCCCCTCATCCTAGTCATTTATTGTCGTTAATCCTTTACACTGCTGGTAGAGGTGGGATTGCTTGTCCCCTCTGCCCAGTGTGTCGTTGATCTTTATTATATCATGTTATCCAGACTTCCTAATGTTTTGCAGGAAAACCCCCACCCTTCTTCGGTTGTTGGGATGGTGGGTTGTCTAGAGGTGATGCTTGTGTATACGTGAAAGCAAAAAAAAAGAAAGAAAAGGAAGTTGAATGATGAGAAAGAAACATTAGTCAACAGAATGGAGAATGGTGACAACAAAATGGAGAATTTTCACCTTTATCTTGTATATTCTGTAGCTATGATGTAATTTATGTCCCTCTGAATGCTAGTCTACCAAGATCTGCCAGAGTGAATCAGAGCTGCGTGCCTCCACTGGTTGTGTATTCAAAGGTTAGACGAAGAGTGAAACCACAACGTAAGTGTGTAGACTTACCCCGTAGACCAGCTCACCCACCATGCCATTCCACATTTTAGTGTCAGGATCCCTTGCCCCATACTTCCCATCAGGAACAATGGACAGCACGTATTTTATCCCGACGTGTTTCGCGATCTCGTACGCCAGATCAACACAGTAGCCTTCGTATTTCTCATTCCCTTCCTTTTGATCAGGGCTCTGCTTGCGCATCACATAGGGCGCTTCCTGTGAAATATTGGAAGACGAGAGAGAACAAATAAATAACCCACAACCTTTTCCCCCCCAATTTTGACACATCAACTCATTACTGCAAGAAGTCCTATGGTCAGAAACCTGAGAGGGAACAGAGTAATGAACTCTGTTTGAGAAACTCATAATTTTAATGTAGAGGAGATCCTCCAAATTTTCATCTTCCATTGACAGATGAAAAATGATACTAAGAGAGAACTATACAAATGTCACTTCAATGCCTTCCATACAAGAAAAGCTTTTGGACTAGGGGCTATTAAGATTTAAGGATTATTTATTTATTTATTTATTTATTTATTTATTTATTTATTTATTGTCGAAGGCTTTCATGGCCTCGGGTGCTGGACGAGTGCCTGGCCGCTGTGTCGATCTGGATGAGGAAGAACAAGCTGAAGATCAATCCCGACAAGACAGAGGTCCTCCTGGTCGATCGTAAACCGGATCGGGGTATAGGGTGGCAACCTGTGTTGGACGGGGTTACACTCCCCCTGAAGCCACAGGTCCGCAGTTTGGGTGTCCTCTTGGATTCTTCGCTTACACTTGAGGCTCAGGTGTCGGCGGTGTCCGGGAGGGCCTTTGCACAACTGAGACTTGTGCGCCAGCTGCGACCGTACCTCGTGAGGGCAGATCTGGCCGGGGTGGTCCACGCCTTGGTCACCTCTAGAATGGACTACTGCAATGCGCTCTACGTGGGGCTACCCTTGAAGACGGCTCGGAAACTTCAATTGGTCCAGCGGGCAGCAGCCAGAATGTTAACTGGGGCCCATTATCAAGAGAGGTCTACCCCTCTGTTTAAGGAGCTCCACTGGCTGCCATTTATTTTCCGAGCTCAATTCAAGGTGCAGGTACTCACCTACAAAGCCCTGAACGGTTTGGGACCACCCTACCTGCGGGACCGCATCTCCATTTACGAACCCACACGCTCCCTTCGGTCATCTGGGGAGGCCCTGCTCGTGATCCCACCCACGTCGCACGCACGTTTGGTGGGGACAAGGGACAGGGCCTTCTCTGTGGCGGCCCCCCGACTTTGGAATGCCCTCCCAAAAGATCTCCGACAGGCCCCTACTTTAGCAGTTTTCAGAAGGAATCTAAAAACTTGGCTGTTCCGATGTGCCTTCTCAGATTAGGAATCCCCATCCCAAGTCCTAGAAGCACTTTAGCACAATCAATGTTACTGCACACTACACTTTTAATCCTACGTTCCTCCTGCCATCTCAGCACTTTTAACCCTGTACCCCATTGCGCCGGCCGAACCAGTTTTAATAGTGTCTTGATGTATTGATGTATTGTCATTGTTGTTATTTTGCTTAATTGTTGATTTGCTTTGTTTATTGTTGTGTTATGTTTTCTATTGTATTGCGTTCTGAGGCTTCGGCCCGTGTAAGCCGCATCGAGTCCTTCGGGAGATGCTAGCGGGGTACAAATATAGTTAATAAATAAATAAATAAATAAATAAATGGTCTAGAGGCATTCTTTCCTGATGTTTCGCCTGCATCTATGGCAAGCATCCTCAGAGGTAGTGAGGTCTATTGGAACTAGGAAAAATGGGTTTATATATCTGTGGAATGACCAGAGTGAGACAAAGGACTTTTGTCTGCTGGGGCTAGGTGTAAATGTTTCAACTGACTACCTTGATTACCATATAATGGCCTGACAGTGCCTGGAGCAAACTTTTGTTGAGAGGTGATTAGATTCTGCAGGAGTCTACCGAATACCTTGTAGCTGTGGACAAGTCTACATAGGGACCACCAAACGCAGCAGCATTGCCCAAACACGAATCAAGGAACATGAAAGGCAGACTACTTCAACCAGAGAAATCAGCCATAACAGAGCACCTGATGAACCAACCTGGACACAGCATGTTATTATTTGAGAACACAGAAACGCTGGACCACTCTCACAACCACCATGTCAGACTACACAGAGAAGCCATTGAAATACACAAGCATGTAGACAATTTCAACAGAAAGGAGGAAACCACGAAAATGAACAAAATCTGGCTACCAGTATTAAAAAAACTCAAAAATTACAACAGCACAACAACAGAGAGGAAACAAACAAGGACATCTAATCACCTCTCAACAAAAGATTCCCCCAGGCACTGCCCAGCCATCAAATACTAATCAAGGTGGTCAGTTGAAACATTCCCATCTAGCTCCAGCAGACAAAAGTCCTTTGTCCTACCCTGTTCATTCAACAGATATATAAACTCTTTTTCCCAGTTCCAACAGACCTCACTACCTCTGAGGATGCTTGCCATAGATGCAGGCGAAACATCAGGAGAGAATGCCTCTAGACCATGGCCATATAGCCTGGAAAAACCTACAACAACCTATCTATCTATCTATCTATCTATCTATCTATCTATCTATCTATCTATCTATCTATCTATCTATCTATCATAATGTATACCGCCTTTCTCAGCCCAAAGGCGACTCAAGGCGGTTCACAGTCAGCAACAATTTGATGCCCCAACAACATAAAATACAAGTAAAAACATTTAGCATATTGTATAAAAAAACCATACAAAACCAGTAAAAACATATATCATTGCGTCTCCTTACTAAAACAATTGTCCACTCGCATTGTCCAGTCCTTCCCCGTAGTTCTGTATTTACCCGTCACACTGCATTTGGGAAACCTTGCTCAAAAAGCCAGATTTGGACTTTTTTACGAAATGTCAAAAGGGAGGGGGCCGATCTGATTTCCCTTGGGAGGGTGTTCCACAGCTGAGGGGACACCACCGAGAAGGCCCTGTCCCTCGTCCCCGCCAGACGCATCTGCGAAGAAGGCGGGATCGAGAGCAAGGCCTCCCCAAATGATCTTAAAGTCCTGGATGGTTCATAAGAGAGATACATTCAGATAGGTAAGTTGGGCCAGAACTGTTTAGGGCTTTGTAGGCTAACATAGCTTAAGGGAAAGTGACTTTTATTCTGTTATCTAATTACAGTAGAGTCCCTCTTATCCGACATAAACGGGTCGGCAGAATGTCTGATAAACAAAAATGTCAGATAATAGGGAGTCTCCTACTGTTACCCCTCCGACGCAGCACTAGACACCTAGATTACTAACAACAGTGACTCAAAGAGTTAAGGCAAGGCAATGCTCCGGGGCTAGAGGGACCCAGCAGGAAGTGCTCGGATGCGGAAGAGGAGCATGGAAATCAGAGGGAAAGAGGGAGGATGCTTCCGCTTCGGTCCTGCCTCTTTCCCCCCTTTCCTCCCTCTTCCTCCTCCTTGTCCTGCCTTTTTCACTAACTGGGAATGGAGTTGGGGAGTGCTCCTTTAATTGAAGGAATATGGAGTCCTCGTGGACAACAAGTTAAACATGAGCCAACAATGTGATGCGGCGGCAAAAAAAGCCAACGGGATTTTGGCCTGCATCAGTAGGAACCTAGTGTCTAGATGTAGGGAAGTCATGCTCTCCATGCTCTATCCTGCCTTGCTTAGACCACACCTGGAATACTATGTCCAATTCTGGGCACCACAATTGAAGGGATATGTTGACAAGCTGGAATGTGTCCAGAGGAGGGCGACACAAATGATCAAGGGTCTGGAGAACAAGCCCTATGAGGAGCAGCTTAAAGAGCTGGGCATGTTTAGCCTTCAGAAGAGAAGGCTGATCGGAGATATGATAGCCATGTATAAATATGTGAGAGGAAGTCATAGGGAGGAGGGAGCAAGCTTGTTTTCTGCTTCCCTGGAGACTAGGACGCGGAGCAATGGCTTCAAACTACAAGAAAGGAGATTCCACCTTAACATTAGGAAGAACTTTCTGACAGTGAGAGCCGTTCAGCAGTGGAACTCTCTGCCCCGGAGTGTGGTGGAGGCTTCTTCTTTGGAAGCTTTTAAACAGAGGCTGGATGGCCATCTGTCAGGGGTGATTTGAATGCAATGTTCCTGCTTCTTGGCAGAATGGGGTTGGACTGGATGGCCCAGGAGGTCTCTTCCAACTCTTTGATTCTATGATTCTGTGATTCTACAATCAAAGAGCATTCTGAACCCCACCAACGATGGATTTGAATCAAACTTGACACACAGAATTCCCATGACCAACAGAAAATACTGGAAGGGTTTGGTGGGCAGCGTCCTTTGGTTTTGGAGTTGTAGTTCACCTACATCTGTTTCTTGGCAGAATGGGGTTGGACTGGGTGGTCCATGAGGTCTCTTCCAACTCTAGGATTCTATTAATCTAAGGGGAAATACTAGAGGAAAAGGGGGACGTCGGATAAGAGCATTGGATAAGACGGAATGACAGATAACTGAAGATTGGATAAGCGAGACTCTACTGTACATGGAACTTACCAGGATGGTAGTGACTACGATAGTCCTATTTTCAACTGAGGAGGTATCATTGGAGACAGAGGGGTCCACTGCAGGCACAAATCTCTCATATTCATTCCAGTAACCAGCCTACAAATGGAGAAGAGACCAACAATGAGAATGCACCATGCTAAATGTTCTACCCAATAACCCAGGAACAAGAGAACATCTCTAAATATCATTTTAAATGTTAATTAGAGCTCTTTCCTAGATCATGGAACCACCAAGTTTGATGTGTCTTTGTGGGTCACTTACTCCGACCCCTAAGTGATACATGAAATTAAGGCCTAGATCATCCTCTAAGCGGGAAGCTCTGCTTGAAGGGTTTTTAGTTGAGCATTTGTTCAGAGACAACTTATTCTGTAATTTGAAGGCGGACCTTGAGTTTCATAAAAAATCAAGGAAGATCCATGTGCCTGAAGTCTGCCCAGACCAGTTCCACCCAACCATTGGTCCTCTAGAAATTTGAAACTTCAACTTACAGAAAGAATTTCGGTCCATATGGATATTTGGTGAGCTAAAATCCTAAACACAGATGGTCAAAGGTTCAGAATCACTGATTTGTGTCATGCAATGGTTGATCCTTGTTTTATAATATCTCGGAGCCACAAAAGAACTGTCTTGGGAGAGTGTACACATCTATATAAATAAAAATGTAATGTTCGTTTGTGGGATTAACAGAACTCAAAAACCACTGGGGCAATTGACGCCAAATTTGGACACGATGCCCCTAACAACCCAATGTATATCCTTCACTCAACCCCCCCCCCCCGAAAACAAAAAGCAGAAACGCCTTCTAAACTGCATGTCCACAAAGAGACCCATGGCCATGCCCCCTCCTCCTCCTCGTGGGGAAACAGCCAGCCGTTAAAGCAGGTGTGCGTGCATGGCCACACACACACACACACACACACATACACACAAGCGAGAGTGGAGTGGATGTGGAGGCTTGCCGCATGGAACCCCTTCTCTTTCCCTGCTATGTCAGTAGGGTGGTCTCCTCCTCCTCCTCTCCCTGTTAGAAGAGGAATGGGCAGATGAGTGGCAGCGGCAGCAGCAGAGCCCCCAGGCAAGGAAGAAGGGGAGGAGGAGGTGGCGAGGAAGGTCGACGATGCTTGAGTGAAGGACCTTCCTTCTCTCCCTCACTCCCTTCCCTCCTTCCTTCCCTCCCTTCCCCTCCCTCCTCCTTTCTTCCCTTTCTTCCTTCTCTTTTCCTTCCTTCTTTTCCTTCCCTTCCTTTTCCTCTCTCCTTCCTTTCCTTCCTTTCCTCTTTTCCCCCTCCCTCCCTTTCTCTTCTTTCCTTCCCTTCATTTCCTTCCCTCTCTCTTTCTTCATCCCCCTCCTTTCTTTCCCTCCTTCCTCTTTCCTTCTTCTCTTTCCTTCCTTCCTGTCCCTCCTTTCTTTTCCTTCCTTCCCTTCTTTCACTCCTTCCCTCTCTCCCTTCCTTTTTTCTTCCTTCCTGTCCCTCCCTCCTTCCTTCCTTCTTCCTTTCCTTTTTTTGATGTAAGATATAAATACAGTATTAAATGGAAGGGACAGTCAAGAAGTAACGAGAGAAAGAGGGAAGGAATGAAGGCGGGAAAGGGGGAAGGAAGGAGAGAAGGAGGGAGGGAGGGAAAAAAGTAAAGAAAGAAAGTTAGAGAAGCAAGGAAGGAGAGGAGGAAATAAAAAAGTGAAAGGAAAAAGAGAGGGAAGGAAGGAGTGAAGGAACGAAAGATAGGGAAGGAAGGAAGGAAGGAAGGAAGGAAGGAAGGAAGGAAGGAAGGAAGGAAGGAGAGAAGGGAGGATGTAACCAAAGAGCAAAGAAAGTGAGGAAGGAAACAGTAGAGATCGAAGAAAGAAGAGAAATAGGGAAAGAAAAAGAGGAAAGGAAGGAAAGAGGGAAGGAAGGGCGGCCACAGCAACGCGTGGTGGGCACAGCTAGTCCATACACATTTATGTTATCACTATCATTATCATTTTGTTGTTGTTGTTTATTATAAGTTTACTTATCCAACTATGCCTTACCTTTCGTGGCCCGCCAGGTCTCATCTCATACACATCGATTGTATAATTAGTTCTACGACCGTAGGTGTCAAACTGGATGTTGCCTGTCATTCCTTGCACTTGAACCTTGATAATTATGAATGACAACATACTAATATAGAGAAGACAATACGAGAATAGACTACTACAGAACATGTCCCCTTTAACACTGACTGATGATGACACTTATGCAACTATTAGGCCTGTGCGGTTTCGTTCGTTAATTTTGTAATTCGTTATTAATTCGTTATTTTTGGCATTTACGAAGCGATATCAAAACACATTTTCAAACCTGGAAGGGTTTAAAAATATCGAACCGGCAACCCCCATAGATTTAACGAGCTTCCGCTCGTTTCGTTAATGGGATGGAGGCTGCTGGTGCCTGGGAGCCAATCCGGCGCTCCCAAGCAGTGCACCGTGGCTGTTTTTGATTGGCCGGCGAGCCCTTTAAAAGCGGCTCCGCGCGGCCGTAGCTCATTGCTGCAGAGGGCGAGGGAGAGAGAAGAGGTCCGGGAGGGTTTGCATTGGGTTGGCTTGGCTTGGCTTGGCTAGCAACTGGATTGGATTCATTCCTTGCTCATTCCTTGCTTGGATTCATTCATTGCTGCTGTGAGTGCTGCTTATATTCCTTGCTTGGATTCATTACTTTCTTCGGTTTTTGTGAATTTGTTTCTTAATTTTTTGGTTAATTTTCCATTTTTAAATATTTTTTAATATTATTTTTTTTAATATTATTTTAATATTATTCTTAAAAAATACAAAAAATATTCTAAAAAAGAAAAGACTCTTCTGTTGGTGTGTGCTCTCATTTGCTGTCTCCTGCCTGTGTTTGGTCCACATTTGGGCCATTTTTTGGTTAATTTTCCATTTTTAAATATTTTTTATATTATTTTTTAATATTATTTTTTAATATTATTTTAATATTATTCTTAAAAAATACAAAAAATATTCTAAAAAAGAAAAGACTCTTCTGTTGGTGTGTGCTCTCATTTGCTGTCTCCTGCCTGTGTTTGGTCCACATAAGGGCCATTTAAAAATACAAAAAATATTCTAAAAAAATAAAAGAGTCTTCGGTGGCTGTGTGTGGGTTTGTCATTTGTGTAGTTCCAACCAGTGCGCTCCTTTTGCCAACACAAAGTGCTACATACACTGCTCGCTCATCATTTGTGTAGTTCCAACCAGTGCGCTCCTTTTGCCAACCCAAAATACTTAATAACGAAGTTATTAATAACGAAGTTTTTAATAACGAAGTTTCGGAAGTCGCTTTGCGCATGCGCAATCGCGTCCGCCGTTTAACGAATCGATTCGTTATAAACTTAACGAATCGACCCCCGCGCCAATAACGAAGCTTCAGAAGCGATTTTGCGCATGCGCGGGGGGTCCGCCATCTTAACGAATCGATTCGTTAATATTTACGAAATTTCGTAAATACCAAAACTTTTTGGGGGGAAAATTTTGTAATTATTTTAAATATCGAAACAAAAAAACACCCCAATTACAAATCGATTTTAGAACCAAATTTTTTCTTGATCAACCAGGCCTAGCAACTATAGAAAATACAGAGCACATTCTTTGACGGGTGTGTGTCTAATATAATATAAATGCATATAAACAGTGGATTTTAATGCTGAGACAAATGTTTTAATGTTTATGTATGCATATAATTTATTTTGCTGGTTGTACAGTATGTTGTGCTCCGCCCTGAGTCCACTGCAAGGTGAGAAGGGTGGAATATGAATGTTTTCAATAAATAAATAATAAATACAACAATTTTAACAGAGATAGTTGACTTTGAACCCTCTAAATATTGATGATTCAGAATTCCCATCATCTGTCACTATTGATGATACATTGACTAATGCTTATTCGGTCTACATGGCAACAGCATGCAGTTGCCCACCTCTGATTTTCTTGTTATTTACCTTCAAGTTAACTCTTGACTTAGGAGCCCCCAGTGGAGTAATGGATGAAACCCTTGTGCCAGCAGGACTGCTGACCAAAAGGTTGGCAGTATGAATTCGGGGAGTGGGGTGAGCTCCTGTCTGTCAACTCCAGCTTCCCATCCGGGTGCATGAGAGAAGCCTCCCACAGGATGGTAAAACATCTGGCTGTATCCTAGGCAATATCTTTGGAGACGGCCAATTCCCACACACCAGGAGCGACTTGCAATTTCTCAAGTCGTTCCTGGCATGAAAAAAACACTCTGGCTTATGGTAACCCTATCACGCCATTTTCCTGGCTTGTTATTCAGAGCGAGCTTGTTATGGCCTTTCTTTTAGGCTTGCCCAGGACCATCCTATGGGTTTCCACAGCTGATCAGTTATTAAAATCCTGGTCTCTCAGATTCCAAGTCCAAAACTCAAGCAACTATAATATGCAGACTCCCATCTCTGATTTAAAAGCAACATAAAGGCAGCTGGCACTGTACATATGGCTTTATGCTGCACATAACAGTCGAGTACGTTTTCAGTTGTCCCCTCTTATATATCTAATCTATATTGTTGACAATACATTATGATGTAGCAGTTCGCTTTTTGCCCTTACCATTTTGAGTGCTCTTTCTATATCGATTCCTTGGCTCCAAGGCACAGCTGGGTTCGCTAAGCAGTCTCCAGCGCTGCCTCTCCGGGAGACGTCGACTCGCTGCCTCCGCAGATACCGGAAAGCTTCCGCTATGACTAGGATGGCATCATGGGTCAATGCAGATGTGTACTAGAAAGAGACAATGCAAAGAAGACAGCTTGACAAGTTGTGTTCGGGGAACTCCATGTGATGGTTTCATTAAACACCACAACCAATCCTTGAAAGACATCAAACATCATTTTGCAAGGACCAGAGGACCAAGCTATCTATGTCTCACTTGCAGAGAACTGTTCTCTGCATTAAAGGCTGTCTCTGATTTTGAAGAAGGAATCAGGAAACCCTCCGGATACTGACGGACTGCAGCTCTCAGCAGCCTTTCCAAGAAAGTACATGGTGAGGAATGTTGGACATTCCAACCCAGAAACAGCTGGTTGGTTAGAGTCTCCCTCTTATCTCATCTGGGTTATGATATGGCACTTAAATCACTTAAACAAAGACTGTGGGGCATTGCCTTCTGTGAACTATGTTCTCACTCATATGTTTCTTGTTCCCCAAGCACCCTGAGCATACATTATGCTGGGCCTCTCCATGAACCAAATTATCTTAAGAACTTGACTGTGGCCAAATATCACTGTCTATTCTCCAAGGCAAGGTGCAATATCATTCCCATCTGAAGTGCCAGAACTCCTTGTTGGCAGTGGCCACCCCCAGCTCCTTCAAAGTCAAGCCAGTCCCTTCAAGAATACCATCCATCTTGTCCTTGGTCAGCACCTCTTCCTTTTTACATTCCATTTTCCCCAGCATCATTGTCTTCTCCAAGCTTTCCTGTCTTCTCATGATGTGGTCAAAGTACTTCATCTTCGCCTCTACTATCCTTCCCTCCAATGAGCAGTCGAGCTTTATTTCCTGAAGTATGGACTGGTTCGATCTTCTTGTGGTCCAAGGTACTCTCCAAATTTTCCTCCAACACCACAGTTCAAAAGCGTCTCTCTTCCTTCGCTCAGCCTTCCTTCGCATCCATAGGTATGCGGATCTTCGTTACCAGTGTGATGTTTCTCGACTATTTTGTTGAGATTGGTCATTGCTCTCCTCCCAAGAAGTAAATGTCTTTTGATGTCCTGGCTGTAGTCTGCGTCTGCAGTCATCTTTGCACCTAGAAATACAAAGTCTGCCCACTGCCTCCACATTTTCTCCCTCTATTTGCCAGTTAACAATCAGTTTGGTTGCCATCATCTGATGTTTCACTGAAACCCAGCCTTTACTCTTTCTTCTTTCACCTTGGTTATTAGGTTCCTCAGATTCTCCTCGCTTTTGGCCATCAAAGTGGTATCATCTGCATATCTAAGGTTGTTCATGTTTCTCCCAGCATTTTTAACCCCAGCCTTGGATTCGTCAAGCCCCGTATGTCGCATGATGTGTTCTGCATACAAGTTGAATAGGTAGGACGAGAGTACACAACCCTGCTGTACTCCTTTCCCAATCTTTAGGAAGAGCTTGAAAACTTGGTTGTTCCAGTGTGCCTTCAATGACTCAATGAACAATAATCCTTGACCTGACCAAACCATGCAAAAATGCACTTTATTTTACCTGCTAGTGCAATTAAATCCTGTTTTCGTCCCTCGGATCCCCTGTCCAGATACATTACATTGCTCTCTCACCCAGTATTTTTAAACTTTTAAACTTTGCAAATGGCCCTGCCCACTGTGATATTTTTCCCCTTTTTGTGTTCAATTATTGTGATTTTATATTGTTTGTTGTGCTTATTGATATTGTTACTTGTATTTTATTTATTTATTTCCTTTATATTTTACTGTTGTATTCCTATCTATATAAATAAAAATGTAATGTTCGTTTGTGGGATTAACAGAACTCAAAAACCACTGGATGAATTGACACCAAATTTGGACACAAGGCACCTAACAACCCAATGTATGTCCTTCACTCAAAAAAATTGATTTTGTCATTTGGGAGTTGTAGTTGCTGGGATTTATAGTTCACCTACAATCAAAGAGTATTCTGAATTCTAAAAATGATGGAAATGAATCAAACTTGGCATACAGGACTTCCATGACCAACAGAAAATACTGGAAGGGTTTGGTGGGCATTGACCTTGAGTTTTGGATTTGTAGTTCACCTACATCCAGAGATCACTGTGAACTCTGGACCAAACTCTACACGAATACTCAATATGCCCAAATGTGAACACTGGTGGAGTTTAAGGAAAATAGAATCTCGACATTTGGGAGTTGTAGTTGCTGGGATTTATAGTTCACCTACAATCACAGAGCATTTTGAATCCCACCAATGATAGAATTGGGCCAAACCTCCCACACAGAACCCCCATGTGGGCCACAGCAATGCATGGCAGGGGACGGCTAGTGTTGTATATTTGTATTGGTGTATTGTTGGGCTTGGTCTCATGTAAGCTGCCCCGAGTTCCCTTGGGGAGATGGTGGCAGGCTATAAATATTATTATTATTAATTATTATTATTATTATTATTATTATGATTATTATCTTGAACCAGTCTGTTGTTCCATGCTCTCTTACTGTTGCTACTTGGTCGTTATGCAAGGTGACTTGGTATCCCCATCCCACCAAGAATTAAGATGCTGCTCCTTCAGTCCTTGTTACAATCTCCTTCCTTCCTTCCTCTCTTCCTTCTTTCCTTTGCTTAAAAATGAGGTACCCGATACAGGCTGCCCAATGTTGAGTGTATAGAAACCATAAATTATACCTCTCTGGACAGTATTTCCTATCAACTTAGATATGTAGCTGGCACTCCATCTATTTATTTACTTTTCTTTAAGGAAACAACAAACAAAAGGCAGCACTTCGTCCGTTTTCTCATATGGTTTGAAATTACAGTTGCTGCCGAGGCCATAAATCAGATAAGCACTCCCATTCAGAGGGAAGGTATAAGGTCCCCAAATGGCATTTTTTGGCCAATAAATTATATTTATCTCAGAATATGAGGCAAAAACCTCGTCGCATTTAGAAATTTGTTTATCTTCTGTAGAAATTGCTTTTCTGTGTTCTCCATCCTGATCTTCATAGAATTGTGAACTGGATGAAATTAGATAGCTGGAGGGACTCAAATTGGTTTATTGAGTCTTTGCTTGTTTTCTGGATTCTTTCTTTCTTTCTCCAGTCAATAGTCTTAACAATTAAAATGTGTATTGTCAAAGGCTTTCATGGCTGGAATCACTGGGTTGTTGCAGGTTTTTCAGGCTATATGGCCATGTTCTAGAAGCATTTTCTTCTAACGTTTCACCTGCATCTATGGCAGGCATCCTACCATACCACTGACCGCATAGGGAAGCTGATGAGGAAACACAACCTACAAACTATCTATAGACCCATTAAGACAGTGGTTCTCAACCTGGGTCCCCAGATGTTTTTGGCCTTCAACTCCCAGAATTCCTAACAGCTGGTAAACTGGCTGGGATTTCTGGGAGTTGTAGGCCAAAAACATCTGGGGACCCCAGGTTGAGAACCACTGCACTAAGAAAATCCAACAAATGCTACATTCAGCAGAGGACAAGAGGGTCCTCTCACCTCTGCAAGAGTCAATCATATACCATGCATCTGTGGACAAGTCTACATAAGGACCACCAAACGTAGTGTTGCCCAACACACGAATCAAGGAACATGAAAGGCACTGCAGACTACTTCAACCAGAGAAGTCAGCCATAGCAGAGCACCTGATGAACCAACCTGGACACAGCAGATTATTATTTGAGAAGTCTGAAATGTTGTACCACTCTCACAACTACCATGTCAGGCTACACAGAGAAGTCACTGAAATCCACAAAAAGTACATGGACAATTTCAACAGAAAGGAGGAAACTGTTGTGACTCAGCTGGAATCTCAGAGTGATTGTGTCAATGATTCTGATGGGGATGATGGGATTCAGATTCACAGTCAGGTGCAAAGCAAGGATGTCCCTGTGTTAGATGAAGAAGACCAGAAACAGGGGGCAGAAGTTCAGTTGTTTCCCACAGCAAGGGATGACGTTGTTGGAAGCGAAACCACGGAGAGCCAGGTGCATGATTCAGCAGGAAGGGAGGATGGTTCTCAGCCAGATAATGAGGGAAAAAGCACTAACGAGGGAATTAACCTTGATGAAGCTGGAGGTTTAGATAGAGCTGATCGGTTGGAATTTAAGGTTCGAAAGAGTGTCAGGATCGTTAGCAGGCGAGAGAGGGAGGCTTGGGGCCATAGGAATTCGGATCTGGCCAGGGTGGTCCATGCCTTAGTCACCTCCAGATTGGATTACTGTAATGCACTCTACGTGGGGTTGCCCTTGAAAACGGCCCAGAAATTTCAATTAGTTCAACGGGCAGCAGCCAGGTTGTTAACTGGTGCTCCTTACAGGGAGCGGTCAACCCTCCTGTTTAAGGAGCTCCACTGGCTGCTGTTCATTTTCCGGTCCCAATTCAAGGTGCAGGTTCTTACCTACAAAGCCCTGAACGGTTTGGGACCTGCCTACCTGCGTGACCGCATTTCTGTGTACGAACCCACACGACCCCTTCGATCATCTGGAGAAGCCCTACTCACGCTCCCACCTGCATCGCAGGCGCGATTGGTGGGGACAAGGGAGAGAGCCTTCTCAGTGGTGGCCCCTCAACTCTGGAACTCACTTCCCAAGGTATGCCCCAACGCTGGCAGTTTTTAGGAGGAGCCTGAAAATGTGGTTGTTCCAGTGTGCCTTCCCAGAATAAGGAAACTCCCAGGAATATGTCCTCTAAATGCACTTTACTATGGATCTAGGAATGTCTGCATGCCCCATCCCTCTCCAAAAACTCTGTCCTAGTTCATATTTCATCTATTCATGCTCAGCATTATCTTTAAATTTTAATTATTACATTTGGCCCAGCCATAGGTTTTAATTGTTGTTGTGTTACTGATAATCTTTATTGCTTATTTTTGTTATGAGTTTTATTTTATTGTTTTGTATTATTTGTTGTTATTGCTTTTATTATTGATGTATTTTGGGCTCGGCCTCATGTAAGCCGCACCAAGTCCCTTGGGAGATGGTAGCGGGGTATAAATAAAGTATTATTATTATTATTATTATTATTATTATTATTATTATTATTATTAGGAATGCCTTCATGTTGTCCAGAGAGTATTAAACAGGCTGTTTGAATGTGCCTCGGTGTCAGAGCAACTTCTCACTTCAATCAAGAGACTTTGGATTTCTCTTGCACCTTTCATGTTCATGTTTTAGGACTTTGGGTTGTTGTAGGTTTTTCCGGGCTATATGGCCATGTTCTAGAAGCATTTTCTCCTGACGTTTCGCCTGCATCTATGGCAAGCATCCTCAGAGGTAGTGAGGTCTGTTGGAACTAGGAAAAAGGGGTTTATATATCTGTGGAAAGACCAGGGTGGGGCAAAGGACTCTTGTCTGCTGCAGCTAGGTGTGAATGTTTCAACTGACCACCTTGATTAGCATTTAATGATTTGGAAGTGCCTGGGGGAATCTTTTGTTGAGAGTGATTTGATGTCTCTGTTGTTTTGCTGTTGTAATTTTTGAGTTTTTTAATACTGGTAGCCAGATTTTGTTCATTTTCATGGTTTCTTCCTTTCTGTTGAAATTGTCCACATGGACTTTTAGGACTTTGTCATGTTCTTGTGGGACTTTGCTTTGCTTGTGTCTTCATGGATCTTCATGGATCTTGTTTGCCTATGTTACCTTGGATTGATCTTTTGAAATATACTTTTGCGTTTTTGAACTTTTTTTATCTTTTCCTTTAATAAACCATAAAAGACTACTGCTGGTGAGTTCTTTGGTGTCTTAAACAAGGTGATTCTACTCTGAGGTGCGACAGAAACTATGAAAATGAGCAAAATCTGGCTACCAGCACTAAAATTATAACAGTAAATAAAGAACAAAACTCAAACACAGAGGAACTCCAGACATCAGGGACAGCTTATCACCTCTCAACAAAAGATTCCCCCAGGCAGTAACAAGCCACACCTAATAACTGTCAGGCCATCAAATGCTAATCGAAGTTACCAACTGAAGCATTCACACCTACCTCCAACAGACAAGAATTCTTTCTCCCACCCTGGACTTTCCACAGATATATAAACCCAATTTTCCTAGTTTCTAACAGACCTCACTACCTCTGAGGATGCTTGCCATAGATGCAGGCGAAACGTCAGGAGAGAATGCTTCTAGAACATGGCCATATAGCCCGAAAAACCTACAACAACCCAATTAAAATGTGAACAAACTTAGGACGGTATGCACTGCACATCCCATTTCTCAGGCTTCGATCTGAGATGGAGCAGGGCTTTTTATTCAGCCATTCAGTCCGTCATACGCTTAATTTATGTCTTGTCTTTCCTCTGAACTCATGCTCCACGCGGGGAACAATAATATAGAGCAAATAAAACACAATGCATCAACTGAAAAAACGACTGCTCAACATATACTAAAACTTTACCAGTGACAAAGATAGAAGACATAAACAGCATCCATCAGCTGAAATGCAGTTCACCATCAAGAGGGTCTAACATTCCCAAGCCTGCCTCAATCTAGTAGTATTGTCTGCTAATGGCAAAAGAACAAAGATCAAACTGTTAGGCTATTTAAATGCTGGCCAACATCAGAGGCTGGAACAGAAATCCAAAGGCACATCTACACTGTAGAATTAATGCAGTTCGATACCTGAACTGCCATGGCTCAATGCATCTACACTCTTTAGCAGAGAACAGAAAAGGCCGGGCTTTAGCATAGCAGTTAACCGCCAGTTGCAGTAAATCTGAACCGAAAGGTTGACAGTTCGAAGCCTGGGTCAAGGTGAGCTCCTGGCCTTTAGCCCAGCTTCTGCCTACCTAGCAGTTCTGAAAACAGCAGCAAGTAGATAAATAGGTACTACTTAAGCAGGGAGATATTTTAAGGCACTCATAAGGAAATGCCAGGGGGTTGCAGTGGTCTCAGGAAGTTAGTGAAGATACTGTGAAACCCGTCATCCATGGTCCATCCTCCTCCAAACTGCACCAGGGGAGAAGGGGGGAACTGTGTGCCAAGTTTGGTCTTGATAATTCTTTGGTGTGGGTTGCAGTGGTCTCTGGAAATGAAGGCACTGCATATCCCATTATCCATGGTCCATAGTCCCCCAAACTGCACCAGGACATAAAGTGGGTAACGGGGGCTCTGTGTACCAAGTTTGCTCTTTATCCATAATTTGTGGTGGTCGCAGTGGTCTCAGGAAGTGAGGGAAGCTACTACAAGTCCTATTGTCCATGAGCCACCCTCCTCCAAACCACACTAGGCTGTAGAGTGGGTCAAGTTTGGTCTTGAATAGTCATTGGTGAAGGGCACAGTGGTCTCTGGAAGTGAAGGTACCGCATATCCCATCATCCATGGTCCGTAGTCCCCCAAACCACACCAGGACATAAAGTAGGTAATGGGGGCTCTGTGTGCTAAGTTTGCTCTTTATCCATCATTTGTGGTGGTCGCAGTGGTCTCAGGAAGTGAGGGAAGGTACTACAAGTCCCATTGTCCATGATCCACCCTCCTCCAAACCGCATTAGGATGTAGAGTGGGTCAAGGGGGCTCTGTGGTCCAAGTTTGGTCTTGAATAGTCATTGGTGAAGGGCACAGTGGTCTCTGGAAGTGAAGGTACTGCATATCCCATCATCCATGGTCCATAGCCCCCCAAACTGCACCAGGATATAAAGTGGCCATGGGGGCTCTGTGTGCCAAGTTTGGTCCTGACCTTTCATTGGAGGGGGTTGCAGTGGTCTCAGGGAGTTAGTGAAGGTACTGCAAATCCCATCATCCATGGTCCATCCTCCTCCAAATTGCAGCAGGATGTAGAGTGGGTCAAGGGGGCTCTGTGGTCCAAGTTTGGTGTTGAACAGTCATTGATGACACAGTGGTCTCAGGAAGAGAGTGAATGTACTACAAGTCCCAGCATCCTTCATCACTGCTTATGTTGTCAAGGACATGTTTTCAATCTTAATTTAGGATGAATACCATTTTCTTACCCATTCTTGGACTACACAACGAAACTTACTTACCTTTAGTGGAGAATTTTTGGCTTCTGGGAATTCCCGTTCATCGAGTCTCACCCAGCGCTGCATGAATTGCTGGACCATTGGGTTTTCGGTATTAACGATCTGAAATCCGGTGACGTTTGCACCTCCTTGCACCACTTTGTCCAGGGAAATGTCTGTAAAACCCTGGGAAGATAAGGAAAAATATTAGACATATCATGGTATATTCAAGCTCTATTCCACATTTTGTGCACTTCAAGAAAAATTTAAATTTTATCTTGCTGGATTTATATGCTCACCATAAACTTTAAGCAAGAGGAGGACAATTTAAAAAATATGAACCCAAAATTAGGCTAAAGCAGAGACAAGGAATAAATAGGTTGTCGAAGGCTTTCATGGCCAGAATCACTGGGTTGCTGTGAATTTCTGGACTGCCTGGCCATGTTCTGGAAGCATTCTCTCCTGACATTTCACCCACATCTATGGCAGGCATTCTCAGAAGTTGTGAGGTCTGTTGGAAACTAGACAAGTGGGGTTTATATATCTGTGGAATGATGTCTAGGGTGGGAGAAAGGATTCTTGTCTGCTCGAGGCAATTGCGAATGTTACAATTGGCTTAGCATTGAGTATCCTTGCAGCTTCAAGGCTTCACTGCTTCCTGCCTGTGTAATTATGTCCAGGGTGGGAGAAAGAACTCTTTGTCTGCTTGGGGCAACTGGGCTCTACGGGCCAATGGATACTCCACCACATACATCAGAAGAGCCATAATAATAATAATAATAATAATAATAATAATAATAATAATAATAATAATAATAATTCAACATTAATGATTTCATAGCATTAAGCCATGGCAGTTAATGTGGTGTCAAGCTGCATTAATTCTGAAGTATAAATGCACTTCCAGACTTCTTGAGTCTTAGGTAAAGGTAAACGTTTTCCCCTGACATTAAGTCTAGTTGTGTCCACTCTGCGGGTTCGTGCTCTATTTATAAGTCAAAGAGCCAGCGTTGTCTGTAGACACCTCCAAGGTCATGTGGCTGGCATGACTGCATGGAGAGCCGTTACCTTCCTGCTGGAGCAGTACCTATTGATCTACTCAAATTTGCATGTTTTTGAACTGGTAGTTTGGCAGAAGCTGGGACTAACAGCAGGAGCTCATGCCGCTTCCTGAATTCAAACTTGAAATCTTTCAATCAGCAAGTTTAGCAGCTCAGTGGTTTAATCGACTGAGCTACCCAGGACTCCGTCTTGAGTCTTACAGTTATATAAGATATAGCTCTTTGTGTAATTGTTGTACTCCAGGCCAGGAAAGCCCTCTGACTTTAAACACTACACAGCTGAGTAAAAATGCAAGCAGTTTATTGAAGGTATTTTAAAAAGCAGTAGCGGTAAAAAAAAACAATCCATAAAAAATAGGAAAATCCAATTAGGTAGAAATAAAAGTAGAAACAAATAGTCCAGGAAATTAGTCCATCAGAGCTCATGAAAAAGAAATGCTGAAACGTACAAGGTAAAACCCCAAAACTTGAATCGTGAATCAAACAAGGCACTTAGCACATGAATCTATCCAAGGCAAGGCTTTCAGGGACCTGGGAAGAAATCTTGACTCAATTCCAACGTTGCTTCGTCTGGCTACAGATTCTGTATTTGGCACTTTTATCCCCTAATCTACTCTATATTCCAAGCAGTCAGGAGCAGATTTTGGTTCAGCCTTGACTCTGTTATCGATCTCTCTCTCAGTCTGGCAGAGCGCCTGAGAGCTTGGTTTGTTTGTCTGTGCTGACTGAAAGTATTCTATCTACTGGCTCATTAATTTCTGCAGCTGGCCTAGGTGCTGAGCTTTTCTCAGGCTCAAAGCCTTGGGAATTCTGTGGTAGCAATTCAGGCCCTCTTCCAGGGACCACACCATAATCCCTAAACCCTTTAAGAACATTCTCATCAGAAAAGTCACTTTGAACAAGAATCCCATTGTCATTCTCTGCATCTAGAGCAACCTCATCATTAGAAACATCATTAGATTCATGAACCTCATTGTCACTCCCAACATCCAGAGGACCCTGATCATTAGACACAATCATAGGCTGAACTCCATCAGTAATGTCCAGAAACATCCTCACATGAAATCAGCAAACATTTGCAATATTGGTGCCGTGCATCCTCAGGCAACAACTATTGGGACAGCAAGAGAAACAGTGCCATGAAGGTTATCTGGTTATCTGGTTAACCAAGCTCTCAGGTGCTCTGCCAGACTGAGAGAGAGATTGATGACAGAGTCGAGGCTGAAACAAAATCTGGAACAATCAGCCCACCAATAAGAATCAGGAAATCCAGGTTCCAGGCAGAGTTGCCAATTTGAATATACAAAATGCAGAGTGATTTTGAACACACACACAAAAAAAGCAGCGTTCCATTGGGCAAAGACAAGGGATTTTGGCCTGCATCAATAGGAGCATAGTGTCTAAATCTTGGGAAGTCATGCTCCCCATGCTCTATTCCGCTTTGGTTAGACCACTTTACCTGGAATATTGTGTCCAATTCTGGGCACCACAATTCAAGAGAGATATTGACAAGCTGGGATGTGTCCAGAGGAGGGCAACTAAAATGATCAAGGGTCTGGAGAACAAGCCCTATGAGGAGCGGCTTAAGGAGCTGGGCATGTTTAGCCTGAAGAAGAGAAGGCTGAGAGGAGATATGATAGCCATGTATAAATATGTGAGAGGAAGCCACAGGGAGGAGGAGGGAGCAAGCTTGTTTTCTGCTTCCCTGGAGACTAGGACGCGAACAATGGCTTCAAACTACAAGAAAGGAGATTCCATCTGAACATGAGGAAGAACTTCCTGACTGTGAGAGCCGTTCAGCAGTGGAACTCTCTGCCCCGGAGTGTGGTGGAGGCTCCTTCTTTGGAGCTTTTAAACAGAGGCTGGATGGCCATCTGTCAGGGGTGATTTGAATGCAATATTCCTGCTTCTTGGCAGGGGGTTGGACTGGATGGCCCATGAGGTCTCTTCCAATTCTTTGATTCTATGATTCTATGAAAGAAGCATATGATGTTCTGACTTTGCATCACAATGCTTTAGCATAAATCCTTCCCAACGGTGACCTTGCAAAGAAAAAGAATAACTTTGCAAGGAGTCCGCTTTGGCGTTGCGGAATTGTCAGGTAGAAGGCAGGGGACTCTGCGAAGGAGCCGTCTCTTCACAATGCTAAAAGCTTGCAATTGTTGCGGGATCAAATGCCTTAGGAGCCTCTTGCACGCAAAGTGCAGAGGAGTCGCTTGATTAAAAAAAAACACCCTACTATAATAAGAAACACTTGCGGGGAAAAACCCTTGTTATAAAATGTATTTCAGAAATAGATAGACCTGAGGCACACTGCGCCTAGTTACCGGATACAGAACAAGTTCATTCTCTCTCCCCTTTTCCCTAGAATAAGCTTTAGATGTACTGCCAGAATTGAACAAATGAATGGTTAAGCAGCCTGGCGACTTGACTATAGAATTATGGATTATCTTGGCTCTTTGTAACAACTGTAAAGTAACCAAGCATAATGTCATATCTCCCCACAGTGGGTTTGTGTTATTAAAAAGAGATTTGGATTATTGACAGTATAATTTGAGAAGAAATACAAACGATGCATTAAGTTGAAATGATTACGGCAAGAAAGCTTCTACAGCGGTGTTTCCCAATCTTCTGAATGCCGTGACTCCTTAATACAGTTCCTCATGTTGTGCGGACCCCAAACCATAACATTATTTATGTTAATTTTGTCATTTGGGAGTTGTAGTTGCTGGGATTTATAGTTCAGCTACAATCAAAGAGCAGTATGAACTCCACCAAGGATGGAATTGATCCAAACTTAGCACACAGAACTCCCATGACCAACAGAAAACATTGGAAGGGTTTGGTGGGCATTGACCTTGAGTTTTGGAGTTGTAGTTCACCTACATCCAGACAGCACTGTGGACTCAAACAATGATGGATCTGGATCGAACTTGGCACGAATACTCAATATGCCCAAATGTGAATATTGGTGGGGTTTGGGGAAAAGAGACCTTGACATTTGGGAGTTGTAGTTGCTGGGATTTATAGTTCAGCTACCATCAAAGAGCATTCTGAACTCCACCAACAATGGAATTGATCCAAACTTAGCACACAGAACTCCCACAATCAACAGAAAATATTGGAAGGGTTTGGAGAGCATTGACCTTGAGTTTTGGAGTTGTAGTTCACCAACATCCAGAGAGCACTGTGTACTCAAACAGTGATGGATCTGGATCGAACTTGGTACGAATACCCAATAAGCCCAAATGTGAACTCTGATGGAGTTTGGGGGAAGATAGACCTTGACATTTGGGAGTTGAAGTTGCTGTGATTTATAGTTCACCTACAATCAAAGAGCATTCTGAATCCCACCAATGATAGACATGGGCCAAACTTCCCACACAGAATCCCCACGACCAACAGAAAATACTGTATTTTCCGATGGTTCTTGGTGAAACCCCCTCAACACCTCCCCAGGGGTCCCGACCCCCAGGTTTAGAACCACTGTTCTACAGGAGAGCAGTCATTGAAGACACACTAACCATGTGTCCAGAGGAGGACGACAAAAATGATCAAGGGTCTGGAGAACAAGCACTATGAAGAGCGGCTTAAAGAGCTGGGCATGTTTAGCCTGAAGAAGAGAAGGCTGAGAGGAGACATGATATCCATGTATAAATATGTGAGAGGAAGTCACAGGGAGGAGGGAGCAAGCTTGTTTTCTGCTTCCATGGAGACTAGGATGCAATGGAACAATGGCTTCAAAGTACAAGAAAGGAGATTCCATCTGAACATGAGGAAGAACTTCCTGACTGTGAGAGTCGTTCAGCAGTGGAACTCTCTGCCCCAGAGTGTGGTGGAGGCTCCTTCTTTGGAGGCTTTTAAGCATTGGTTGGATGGCCATCTGTCAGGGGTGCTTTGAATGCAATATTCCTGCTTCTTGGCAGAATGAGGTTGGACTGGATGACCCATGAGGTCTCTTCCAACTCTTTGATTCTATGATTCTATGATGCCCCATCTATTGCATTATTTTAAAGCTACCTTCATTGACAACCATTTTCTGGCCAGGGTTCAAAGAGCTTCTTTAGATATACTATAATTCTTACACATGTTCCATGGAAACGTCTAAAGCCCCTCCTAAATGCTAAGTAGAGAAATCTTAACTAAGTGTTTATGAAGAGCTTCAGAAGCTACTATTCATCACAATATATTGGGGCTTCCTATTATGAAGCTTCATTATGAGGCTTGTTGTTTTGTGTGGCCAAAGGAACGAATTTTGCTTAGAGATGGCAGACTCTGGGAATGTCAACATTGTGATTTAAGATATGGGCGGCATGGTTATCTTTGGTACAATAAAGGTAAAGCAAATCCAAAATCTAAATAAGTTGTCTTACCAGGTTTGCAAGCATGTAGTGGTAACTTCTGGAATTTTTATTGAGGATTGCAACCTGTAGAAAGAAAGAAAAAAAGATGCATCACTTGACAGAAGAAATTACAGTTTTTGTTCCTGGGTTTTAAAGGTAATTTCTTAATTAGTTCTATCATAAAACATGGAAAAGTTTATTAAACTGTCAGAACTTTGTTTTTGTGGGAAGGGACATCATCCTGCAGTACATTTTGCTATAGTTTTCCAATGAATATCTCATCATACAGTCTCAACTAATTCAACCTAGTTTGTGACAGCCACAAAACTGAAGTTACTGGAGAACAACAACTTTCAAAGTAAGGTAAAGGTAAAGTGTTTCCCCTGACATTAAGTACAGTCGTGTCCAACTCTGGAAGTTGCTGCTCATCTCCATTTCTATGCCGCAGAGCCAGGATTGTCCATAGACACCTCCAAGGTCATGTGGCTGGCATGACTGCATGGAGCGCCATTAGTAAGCACCATACAATTAAACAGGAAGTAACACTTTCAAATCAGGAACAGAAAATATCTCAAATTTTGTTATATAGTGTTATGTTACTTTATGACTAGCTGTCCTGCCACATGTTGCTGTGGCCCAGTCTGTGTATGTGTTTTGTGTGTGTGTATATATGTGTATATGTGTGTATTTGCATATATATTACTAACAGGAGCGGGACGCAGGGAGCACACAACGCCCTTGTTGTTCCAGCTCCACTGGCTGCCGATCTGCTACCGGGCCCAATTTAAGGTGCTGGTGTTGGCCTACAAAGCCCTAAACGGTTCCGGCCCAAAATACCTTTCGGACCGCATCTCGGCCTATGAGCCCACGAGGGCCTTGAGATCGTCCGGGGAGGCCCTTCTCTCGATCCCGCCTGCCTCACAGGCACGTCTGGCGGGGACGAGAGATAGGGCCTTCTCGGTGGTGGCCCCCCGGCTGTGGAGCACCCTCCCTGTAGACATCAGACAGGCGCCCTCCCTTATGTCATTCCGCAAAAGCCTAAAGACATGGTTATTTGAGAAGGCGTTTAACTAAGTGCTTCAACAATTGGCAATGACGACTGGAACAGAATATGGATTACGAGATTGGTTTATGATTCTACGATGAGACGGCGCGGATGATTTAGTGTAATTATATGATTGTTGTATTATTGATAGTTATGCTGATATGTTGTTGTGCTATTGCTTTATTGTAAATTGTGTTTTTATATGTTGTACACCGCCGTGAGTCGCCCTAGGGCTGAGAACGGCGGTTAACAAATGCAGTAAATAAATAAATAAATAAATAAATAAATATATGTGGTTTTGCTCAGGCGTTGTAATGTCTTTTTTGGGTTTTTTTTTTGCTTTTTAAGTCTCTTCTGCTGTGTTTTTCAGTGTTTTTATGAGTGATGGTCACTCGTTGGCCTGAGAGGTGTCTTGTGTCCAAATTTGGTGTCAATTCGTCCACTGGTTTTTGAGTTCTGTTAATCTCACAAACGAACATTACATTTTTATTTATATAGACTAGCTGTCCCCTGCCATGTGTTGCTGTGGCCCAGTCTGTTTATATGTGTTTTGTGTGTGCATATATGTGTATATATTTGTGTATATGTGTGTGTTTGCATATATATGTGGTTTTGCTAATGCGTTGTAATGTATTTTTTTTATTTTTTGGCTTTTGAAGTCCCTTCTACTGTCCTTTTGGTCAGTAGTGATCTTAATGCAGCAGACTCCCAACCAGCTGCGCCACAGTCCCAGTGCTTTTTGAAGAGTCCATAGTTTGATAATATCTTTATTATCCTTTTTCCTTTTCGTATTCCTTAACAAGATTCCAATCAGTCCTTTCAATTGGGCTTCCCGAAGTATTCTTCAAAAAGAAAGTTAGTTTATCCATGTCTCTAATTTCTCTTAATTTATTTAGCCAATCGTCAATCTCTGGTGTCTTGTCCAATTTCCAAAGTTTTGCATTCTCGCCACCATTGTCATATAAGTAAAAAAGAATGTCTTTATTGTGATCCAATGCTATATCTGAATCCATGAGGTCTTCTTACTTAGTTTTATTTACAACAATAATTTAAAAAGGCAAAAAAGATTCAGTTCACTGATTGCTTTGTGCGTGGATTTTGGCGCTGTCCTCCACTGCCCAGTTTTTCAGCACTTGGACAGCGCCATGGCACAATCCAATTCAGGTTTATCCAATACCTCCAAATTGTGTCCAAAATATCCCATTCAGGTACCTAACAAAAATTACCCCTCTTTCATGAGTTTGCTCATTATCTATTTTGGAGGCCTTCAAAACAGAACAGGTGAGAGGAAGGAGAACACAGGACAAAGCCCTCTCCATGGCAGCAACCAGGCCAAAGCACTCTGGAGTGACTCTTTCTCATAGTTAGGAATTGTGGGAGTTGAAATCCAAAACACCCGGAGGGCCAAAGTGTGGGGAATGTTACCAGTATTTTGGGCCTGAGAACAATGCAACCTGGAAGAGCCTGAGATCTGTAATCCAAAAAGAGAAATCTTCCCAAACTCTCCTCCAGGTTCAATCCTGGTCACTTATATGTACAGATTGACACATTCAGAGGACAGTTTATAATTCCTTGCTTCTGCCGGCCCATTTATGTTGGATAAGAGAGACTCTACTGTAAGTACCACACAATTAAATAGTATAACATTTTCAAACCAGTCTTACCCAAATGTTATTACTTAGTTTTATTTACAACATTAATTAAAAAGCCAAAAAGGATTCAGTTCCCTGATTGCTTTGTGCATGGATTTTGGTGATGTCCTCTACTGCCACGGCACAATCCAATTCAGTTTTATCCAATGCCTTCAAATTGTGGGACTACTGTGTCCAAAATATCCCATTCCAGGTACCTAACTGTCCTGAGTTGCCCTCCAAAACAGCCTTTAGACAATGTTGAAAGTAAAAGAAAAATGCTTTTCTTCAGCAAACACAAAGGATAAGCAAATGCAATTGAAAAGTGCAAAAGAAAACAAGGGAGTCACTATCACTGTCAGGCCATCAAATGCTAATCAAGGTGGTCAGTTGAAACATTCACACCTAGCTCCAGCAGACAAGAGTCCTTTCTCCCATCCTGGTCATTCCACAGATATATAAACCCTTTTTCCTAGTTCCAACAGACCTCACTACCTCTGAGGATGCTTGCCATAGATACAGGCAAAACGTCAGGAGAGAATGCCTCTAGACCATGGCCATATAACCCGAAAAAACCTACAACAACCCAAACAAGGAAGTTTTAATCCAGACACAAATTAAAGTCTCTTACAAAGTCCCAAAAGAAACACCAGTCTTCCATCAGACAACAGATGATGAACTAAGTCCTTAACAGCAGACACAAAGCAGATTCCATTGGAGTAAAGACATCAGTACCAGGGTTGTTGTCGTTACTGACTCCTCCTGCCTCTGATTTATAGCCCTGGATTCCCTACTGGCTGTTAGGAATTGTGGGAGTTGAAGTCCAAAACACCTGGAGGGCCAAAGTTTATTTATTTATTTATTTATTTATTTCAAAGTTTTCTATACCGACCTTCTCACCTCCCTGAGGGATTCAGCCCGGTTTCCAACATAAAAACACATACAATCAGTAAAAATATCACAATTCACAATTACAGTAACACATTAAAATAACAAATATATTTAAAACTACGGTGGTCAGTCATCATACTAAAATTGAATATACATCATCTTCCATCTAAATCTTAGGGCGTTATCTCATTCATCGAAAGCCTGTCTCCATAACCACGTCTTCACCTGTTTCCTGAATGCCAGGATAGACAGGGCGGTTCTGACCTCTGGTGGGAGAGAGTTCCAGAGTTGCGGGGCTACCACCGAGAAAGCCCTGTCCCTCGTCCCCACCAGACGCACTTGTGAAGCCGGTGGGACCGAGAGCAGGGCCTCTCCAGATGATCTTAATAATCTTGAGTTGGCCCATGCCTGTGTTAGAGGATAATTCATATGGGGAATGTTACCAGTATTTTGGGCCTGAGAACAATGCAAACTGGGGGAGACTGAGATCCGTAATCCAAAAAGAGAAATCTTCCCAAACTCTCCTCCAGGTTCACTCCTGGTCACTTATGTGTATGTACAGATTGACACATTCAGAGGACAGATTTATAATTCCTCGCTTGTTGACTGTGGGATGCAAACGACGGCGGACAATAAAGACCACAGCGAAAGCTTTCAGATTCCTTCAAGCCACAATGTTCCTCATTCAAATCCGTGCCAAAGGAGCTTGCTCTGAACATGAGTGGGATGGCTGTTGGTGGAGAACAGCGCAAGCATTTAAGAGAGGTTTCCATGGAGAAATCTCCACGAGTTGTTAAGTAATGAGTCATGTGTTGTTGAGATCTTTAAACAAAACTGCTCATGTTTCCTCCGGGGAATGCTCACTATGTCCTTCCACTCAATGTAAGCTCACAGTCGATAGATAGAAACATTAAACTTGGACCTAACTTTCAGTAAGCTTTTATGCAGAGAACACGCCTTTCAATTTTTTTCCACCAGACAGCACATTTATTTTTTTAGTGATTTATTTATTTACTTATTTACGATATTTCTACCCCGTCTTTCTCTAACCCGAAGGTGACTCAAGGAGGCTTTACAACATAAGCAGCTATTCAATGCCATTAAAACAACATAAACATTACAATAAACCTTTAAAAACATCTAAAACCACTACTTTCACTATTAGCGTTGTCATTCAAAAACATCGTCTAAGCCGCCCCGGTATTCGATTTCACATAGTTCAGTGTTTATCTATTGCACTAGGCTCCCAAAAAGCCAAGTTTTCACTTTTCTGCAGAAGTTCAGGAGGGAAAGGGGCTAATCTAATATCCCTAGGGAGGGAGTTCCATAGCCGAGGGACCACCACTGAGAAGGCCCTGTCTCTCGTCCATACCAGTTGCGCCTGTGAAGAAGGTGGGACCAAGAGCAGGGTCTCCCCATATGATCTTAAACTCCTAGATGGTTTATAGGGAGAGATGCATTCGGACAGGTAAGCTGGGCCGGAACCATTTAGGGCTTAATCCTTCCCTTCCACCCTT